TAAGGGAAGAAACAGCGCATAGTACGGAGGATCAGTTCAAAGACAAATTCAGACGCAACAAACTGCTTGAAATCATGCCGGAAGAAGGAAGCTCTCAATCACCTATCCTCCTCCAAACTTTCTTCCACAAGGAGGTCATCCATCTGCATTTTCTCTATTTAGTAAGCCAAAAGATTTAGAATAGCTTTTATTCCTTCATAAAACGTTATCAAAATTTTCTTCGGTCTTCCTTCTTATCCACTTCCCATCCCTTTTTCCATGCTAAATCCCGAGTTCGACTGTCAATGATCGTCAACAAAATCTTAGTGTGCTCTTGTCTTAGCTTGTAGCGGGACAGACCAGTGAATTATATCTCCGTATCGTTACCAAAAGTTGCTGAATTTCTTACTACGAAAAAAAAAAAGAAAAGCATTGCAACGACAAGTCTTTTTAAAAAATCGGTGATTCGTAAATGTTAGCCTTGAACACCAAGAAAAGCGTCATGATAAGGGACAAAACATGCAGAAGAAATGGTGAAGGGAAATACGCCTGATCTCGCCGATAGAACAGGCAATGCTGGTACGCTAGTCGCTGGAAAAAACATGAGAAGTGAGGAACACAAGTATCAAGCGGAATGAGAAGATGAGCAGAGATTGCAGGTTGTCTAATCGCTACTAATCCAGTAGCGGAATGTTTCTGCTGTATGTTTACGCAGAAGATAAACAAGAACAAAGCTGGTCCAAACCAGATGAGGCCAATAATTAACGCGAAACATGTGTAGTGCTTGGAGCGGGCACGCGTCCAACACCGCTCATGAGGGTCCGAGGGTCAATGAGGTGCTCTAGCCTCTCTTCACGGCATCTAATACCTACAAGGTAAACACCCACACCTCTCAGAATGCCACACTCTCTCCGTCGACCTTCGATGGGGAGCCCATAGGTGATACGGTGCCGTGAGTCATGCGCTCGTTTTTAGTCGCGTAATTATAGGGGGTGATGAGGTTGAGAGCGCTAGATGACATTCGTTTGTGGTCCGTTATTTGCTTGTTGACATACTTGGCAGTCACTTCGGTTACGGTCAGATCACCTAGTCAGACACGTATCGAGGTACTGTACAATTTTCTGGGCAAAGGGGGCTTGGAACATGCCACTCTGGGTTTCAGTGCTATACATGGAAGTGTTGACGTTGCATTCTAATGGATAGGAATTGCAAGACTGAAGAAAATGCTGTTATTTATGCGTGAAAGATATTTCTGCTGCAGGTGTAGATGCCCGACATTCTCGTCCGCTTGATGTTTCATAGAGTTTTCGTTCCCGCGAATTGCATTCTTGGTGATTTGTCACATACAGCGCATATATGTATATGAAAACCATAAAAAATCTGTTCTCGGGATTTCTACAAAATGGTTGACAGAGAAGAAAAAAATCAACAATCATCTAATAGTTTTCGAGTCGTTGGAAAATCTAAGCTACACAAAGTACTGTAGAGCTTGAAGAAGAATATTTACTTTCCAGGGATTCTTCGGCGTCAGAGTCTAACTTTCCTCAAAAGAAAAATCAACATGGGTTACTACAATATGTTTGCGAAGCATAATCCACATAGTTACTATCTCTGAAAAACTTTATATTTTTGTCTCTTTAGCGCTCTTCCCTTTCCCGCCACCCTCCGCCCACCTTCCCTATTTTGAAGATGAGCCACTTTTTGCAAGTGTCTTATACACAAAAATGTACGAGTGTCACGACCATATTTCTTTCTAAATACTTCAGATTCATGAATATCAATATTTGCAAAGAGAAAGCTCCCATGAATTTCTTCTATCCTCCCGCGGAAAAGTTTTTACCACCATGACTGCTAGTTTCATATATCATACGCTCGCGATCAGCGCCTATCATCTTATTTCTTATGGAGTGCAAGTTTTATCGGCACTTTTACTTCCTCAAGGAGATATTAAGCAGCAGCAAGCGAAATAATTGCCTCTTTTACAAAGCGGAGGCGAAAGCGTTGTCAATTAGCTTGCGAAAACGTTCAAAGTGTCAATTTTTCGCACTTGTTTGATTTTTCTTCTGCAATTCAAAATGATGGTTGGCTTGTTGAATTTCGATTTCAATAAGCATTTTCGACACAAGAACAGAATTCTCAAAAGAAGTAATTGAGAAGAAACGAACAGCTTTGCAATAGCGCATAGCAATATCCTCATCTCCCCTAGAAAGGCGATTTCTACATGATTACTTGGAACATGATTTCATATTGAGCTTTGCCAAGCAGCTATTCAGCTGATTCTCCTACATCTTATTTCAGCCAGCATTCTCAAGTTGAAGACTGATATGTTGAACCTAATCGTCTATTTTTACAAAAAAGATTCGCCCAGATTGGTTTTTAGAAACTTCAAATATTTCGGATGTTCACAAGATTTTTAGCTATGAAGTAGAGCGTAACAAACCTCTCTTTTAGAAGCTAAGAGTGAATGCAAAACCATCCTTGAATGGTGAAGGCACTGAAAGTCGCGGAACTGCACTTGGAAAAGGAAAAAAGTGCAAGAGGGACAGGGAACATCGCACTGAGATGTAGTATAATCCAACTAACTAATGATCCATTCCGTTTCTTTGAATGCCACTAACTGATATTCGCATATACTAGCATAACTATAATAATAACCCTAGCATTTAAAATTATTCAGGAAATTTTAAATCAAAATCCTAGAAAGTTGATTTCAACTGTGTCTTTGAACTGCAAATGTACTAGATGCATCAGATATTGGTGTAGAGTTTTGATATGTGAGGATCAGAGAAACTAACTCGCTGATTCCATTCTAAAGAAAACTTCTTTTCTCCCCATTTTCTTTACTACAATGCAACGCATTATAATATTGAAAAATCACAGATAGCCAAGAAATATGCAATGTTCTGATGTGATCATTTCGAGATTCAAAGCTTCCAAGTGTAAGAATGGAACAGGGAAAAATGTGCTTTCAATCAAAGTAGAAACAGTATCAAAACTATGGTAAACCTTGAGCAAAATGATGTTGAACATCAGAACACGCAGTGCTCAGAAACTGGAATCTTATAACTGTATGCACATGCAGGTCGCATAAGAAGTACACTTGATTGTCTAATCAAAAGCTCTCATCTTGAATAGCGACTACTTTTTTCGCTGTTGAAAATCTTGTAGTCACATGGATCTCAAGAAAGACGTGGAGAATATATCTAGTTCTTTGAGTACTTAGCGGAGATGACTGCAAGAGAACAAGTATTGGTGATTGATCACATTATATATTCTGCAACAATATGATGTGAATTTCACGAGTTTGGATGAAAAACTTGGACGCCGATATAGCAGTTTTCCGAGATAGAGTCAAATTGATATACAATTCAGGACCAAAACTTTTGAACTTTGGTAAGTATACACTTTAAGGAGATGGAAGGAGAGAAAGAGAGGGAAACATAGAGAAATGGGGAGAGGAAGAGAATTCTACGCTTCTCAGATGTTACATGTGCTTGAAAAATTCTTTGCCGCAGTTGGGCAACGATATGAGCTGATCAAAAGAGACATTAAAGAGCGGTTTCTGGAATTCAGATTGCTAAAACTGCTAGAATGCCCTTGAAGATTGATTTGATATTGATTTTATGACCTAGCCTTTTCAGCTAGGAAGCTAGAAAACGAATGCCCCTTCCGCTAACTATGATTTTCGAATTCTCCGATTTTTTCTACAGATCAGTCCGTAAAACGACTGTGAGATATAAGATATTATACATAAACATATTGTACAATCTTATCAGCTTGTTCAAGCGTTATTAGAATTAAATTTTCAAGCATTTTCTTGGCAAGAGTTAAGAGTCAAGATAATATAGGGCTATTATATAGTGGAAAATGTGCTCCTACAATCATTTAATAATGAAAAAACCGATAAAGCTTGTATCAAGAAGGAAACATAAGAAAGCATATTTCACTGAGATCAGGATATTGGTTAAAAAAGGTTACTTAACAAGCAATTCAAGCAAATGCTGTCTCCAATGGTTGATCTTGAAATTTCTTGTGATGCTGAATGCGTTCACAGCTCAACTTAGCAGCAGAGAGGCGAAGATTACTGACACACCAAACTATGTGCTGACCTGTCGAAGTTTATACATGAAGTGTAGCGAAGAAAAGATGAGAAATATAATATTATGTGGTTTTATCGTTGCCTTATTTTGTTAGCATTTTTCATTATATCTCAGAAGGATCGAAAGTGCCAAGGATCTGCTGCAAAACGCAGTTGACATTTTCTGTAACCTAATAAATGCTGTTGGAAAAAGTGCGGAGTGTGATTCGATGTAATCAAGAAGCAGCTGCAGCAAAATCAAATTTCTTCAGTTTATAAAAACTTCATCGTTGTAGTCACCACATGAAACCTAGATAATCCAGCATCATTTATGCCTAACGAACGCACTTCACAATGGTTTTTAAGAAGCGAATATGCTTATTGTTGGTGTTTTCATAATGCATCAGTTATTGTCGAACAGCTTCCGCAAAAACAATGAAAAATGTCAAAATCCGGGCTTGTTATCTCTTCAAATTATGATACGCAGTGGAACCTAGAGTTCCTGTAAAAGCGTCTTCTGGCTATTTTCTTCAGCTTATACTTCATTAACGCTGTAAGTTCATCTACCAAATATTTTGGAGATTAAATGGGTCAAACCCCGTTGGATAGAGCGCTCTACTGATCATTTCATACCAATTCTCCACTGGAAGCGGTATTAGCTGAGGTGACGAAAATAGACAATGTTAGTGCTAAGTGAAAGTGACAGACTTTCGTATGAGGGAAAACAAATTTTTCAGTGACTAAAGGGACTCATGATATCATTCTTGAAATTGTGACTTGAAATTAGAACGAAGAAGATGTCTGATAAAAGGATGTTGATTGTCCAAATTGAAGAGCATCACAAAAAACGGTACAATATTAATTGCATTTACAATGTACCCTGGGTCGTTTTCAACTGTTTTTGAGACTAGAAAACATCGAAAAATCAAATCAATGAACTCACTCGTCGTGGAAGCGAGTAGAACACTCCATTGTTGAGCATTGGTTGACTGGTTGAGTTCTAAAAATGCAGATATGATCTATTGCTTCATTGAATGTGACAACATCATTGGAAAAATGAAGGAAAAAGAGCATTGAAAATGCTGTGATGTGATGGAATGTGACAGCCATGACAATGACTTCAAATCTTTGTAATGCAATGGGAGCCACTGCGCCATTATTATCGAATAATTGCTCGCTATTGAGATTTTGAAAGCAGCTTTGATCAGATCAGAATCAACAAGTGCATAAAAGTTATTTTTTAGTTCAAAGTTCCAAATAAGCTCTGTTATCGTTTTACTATTGATAAACCGCACGGAATGAGGAATCTCAAAAGCTCTTGATTCGAATTGCGAAGGTCAAAAAGAAATAATCAAAAATCTCAGTAATTGCTCGAAATAAAATAATTTCACTTGATTACAAGCATTTTGATTTTTTGGCAACAAGTATGCAAGGTTGCATATATAGCAGTTGTGCTTGAATCAAGCTAATTGCAAGCAAGTCAAACCCCTTTTTACTATTTTTTCACTGGGTATTTTTACAGCAAAAATTATTTAGGTGGAAACAAAATGTTTAAGAAAAAAATTATCATCGCTTATAGTTTTGGATGCTCAGTATCTAGCCGCATGCAACAAATCCTTGAACGGAGGTAACTCGCTGTAGCAATCATAAATTCTATTAGGCTGATGCATAGTTCTTGCCCCAAAAATTTTAAAATTCTGCTACTTCATCCAGCTTCGATGAAATCTTTTGGATTGATACATGATAGAAAGAGCGAATTTTGCACTTTCTGAAGGAGCTTGAGTCAAAATTTCTTGAAGGCATATGGCAACGATATAAGATGGGTAAGAGAAATACTCAAAAAGTGGTTTTTTGATTTTTGGTCACTAAAATTGCTAATATGTACATTAGAATTGAAATTATTATTCGTCTACGTTTAATGACATGTTTTTTCTAAGTAAGAAAAGTTGATAGTGATTGGATGTCTCTGTGGATAGTAAGGAATTTCGATTTTTGATGACTTATTGATTTTGTTTCATATTGTTTTTCTCATATGTGCTATAAAATACTACTTTTGATATAAAGCAATCATAATAGCTGATCAGTCTGCTCAACCATTTCTAGCATCAACCCTATATTTTGACAATTTTTGAAGTTTATTCACTCCACTTCAGACACGTCTACAAAATCCTAGAGTTTTTGATGATTATCAAGCTTATCCGATACTTTGAAGGATTGAAACGTTTTCTACAATTTAAATGAAGAGTTGTGAAACTCAGTTCATATCCACTCAGGTGTTTGAATGAGCAACATAGAGATACTGCGAAAAGACGAAAGAGAAAATTTAAGAAGGGGAAAGTGAAGAGGGAGGAGCGCTGTTCAGCGAGTTAGCCGATGAAGTTGGCCGATGTAGAATAAATTATGCCAACAAGAGTAAAAGAAACTCTTTGTTCTTTAAGTTATAGGACAGCATTTTTCAGACTCCAAAGTACTTCTAAAGAACACCATTTAGTCATTTTGACGTTGCAACATATCACTTACAAAATAGGTGCAGCAAAAATTTTTTGCTTGTGATCGTTCTTTTCTGAAAAATTTGCGTGCATTCGCAGTAGGCCATTCATTTTCATATTCAATTGCAGCTCAATGAGCTCTCAAAATGAAACCATTTGAAGAAATCAGTATTACAGTGGAGTGCGACATGAAAAAGAACAAAATTACACAAATTATCATTGTTCTGAGTCTTATTTTAGACAAATGCAGGAACAATAGGAAATAGCTTTAATAGTAGGCAATTATAGGTGTAGATATTAAAACTATGACTCCATGGAGATGAAATCCATACCTCCTCGTGCCAGTAAAACGACAAAAAAAAAGTTTTGAGAATGTAGTAACAACTCTTATTCAATCTAAAAACTCAAAGAGTAAGTTCCTACAATGTTAGAAATACCGCTAGGCGTCTAAATATGCTGGAATACGCGAGAAAAACGCGAAAAGCGAAACAAAGGGCTTTGCCGTGGCCAAGGAACGGCGACGAAGAAGAAACTAGTGCGTGCGGAATTCATCACATGCAGAAGCACCTGATAACGACCTGAGCGCGAACAGGTGCCGAATGCGAGGAGCCGTGCGTAAAAAGCGACGGTCGGTACCGAAATAGTGTGCGAGTCGAAGAAGTGCGCGGTTCACACAGCGACAGCCTTTCAAGGTTGTGCGGCTGCAGCCCAGGTGATTAATCAGCCGTGCGGATTCCACTTGGCTCCGAGGAACTTCGGATGAGCTATGAGCCCGGCCCGAAAAAGTGCGAGATTGAGAACTCCGCTGCGCGAAAGTCTCTACTCATGATTTATGGCTGAGATCTGGGCCGACGACAACGCCTCGGCATCGACATGAGCTCGAAAAGTTGCCAAATGAGCAGTATTGTGGAGTGCACTGGCCCGTCTCCAGGGAAATGAATGAGTTTCCGCTTAGCCGTTGATAATGTCGGGATCGGGAGTCGCTCCGTTGTCCTTTCAAAGTGCAAGTTTTTCGGCGCAAGTCACACTTATTAGACATTCATCAAGACTGATAGCAGTCGAAAAAGCGCAAAGTGCCACTGCTGTTTCAAACTTCTCCCTATAAAACAACAGGTTTTTAACGTTTCAAAAATCACGTTTGGGTTCGCACCATCATATAACCTCTAGGATTTTTGGGAGGATAGCCTGTTTTAGCAGTTGCCGACAGGAATTCGAAATTTACAGTTTGTCTTCAAACTGTACCATATGTCTGACCTGACCACAGCACATATAGAAGTTCCTACACAGACTTGAAATGATTGCTTCAACATCCAAATCGCCGAATATCTTGATTTATTGCATAAGAACAAGATTTCATGCTAAGATGAAGGCAAACGGCAATTACACTGTTCTCTGAACTTTTGTGATTGGCGACGAACATACCTTCGATAGTCTAGAGACAGGGCGTCAAAAGTGAAGGTTGTTTGAACATCTGCCCTCATAAAAAGTGAAGGTTGTTTATAAAAGTTCAGGGAAGAAAAGAATACGTAAAACGAATGTAAAAAGCAAAAGAAACTACAACCGGACAAAAACGCTGCAATAAGGCTTGAAATCTTTCATTAGGTGGCTTTTCAAAGTGCAAGTTTTCGCTTCAGGACCAGCAATTCGCAACACGGGGTTTTGATTTTTGATGCCTCCTTTGAATTTTTAACCCCTCATTGACGTTCCTGTTTCCTGAGACGTTGTCTGGATTGTTGCGCTTATTGTTCTGAGCAACAATCGCCCAAGCTGGAAAAAAATCGATGCGAAAGCACCGAAGGTAAAGAAAAACGCACTTTTTAGGATTTTTCGCAACAGATTCCAAATAATCGAAGAGATAAAGGCTGGGTGGTTGTCTGCATTATGAATAGAAGCAAGATCTATAGAATGCATGAAAAAACCGCGAGAAAAAAGCTAAACTAGGAGAAAAACAAGAGATTTTCGAAAACAAGGTTTTTGCCGGATTTCTCGATCAAATCAAAAAATGTGGTCCTGGGACTTTGTCAGCGTGAAAATAGAGATCAAGGGCTTCAAAATGATATTCAGCTTGCTAAAATTGGGTTCGAAACAGCGAAGAAAAGGGTACCAGAGCCAAATTCCCCGCGCCCCGCGTTTGGGGTAGTGAGGTAGCGCGCAGCGCGCGGAGACGCAGACGAGCAGCGGAGACAGACCAGAGCCGACGGGGCATTTGGCTCTGGTCGTAGATCTCCGTGGGATCTCAACGAAACCCCGCAACATTACATATCATTCTGATCGCCATGACACGACGAGGAGAACTGACAATGTCCCAAGCTTTGAAAGTCACTCATTAATGAGATAGACCAGCGTTTTCGTGCGCGACTCTCTGCGCAAAATTTAAGTGCAGTTTCTCGTTCTTATTTGACTCCAAAAGCTTTCCTAAACATAAACTCGATTTTGTTCAAATAAGAGATTAACTAAGAAATTTTATTATGAATTCTGGCGAAAATCCCACAAAAACCTCTTTTTCAAGGTAAAAAAGGCTATGAAAACGCAAATTCTCGGTTTCGCTGAGATAAGCTAAAGATATTACTTCCTATATTTGCTTCATTAACATGTTCCGATATAATCAGGATAATAACATCCAGGGCGAAGCCCCGGATGAATTCTGTTTTTTCCAGGTGAAGGTTGTGTCTCCTCATAGCCCTCAAAATGAAGGTTACCGGAGTACGTGGCTCTATGTATCGAGGGTATGGCGACGAAGGATTGAGGTGGGAAGGCAACCATCTTGATGCGAATTTAATGGTACTTAAAAAAACCATTATTTCGAAGCTTCAATCATGTATACATAATCCAAGATGGCACAATAAGATGTGCATACTGTTTTATCGTTAATAATCTCTGCTGTCTTTCCCCAAAAATTCAGTACCATGTTGTAAGCTTGCTTCAGTTAGATATCTAGTATAGAGCAAACCACGCTCTTTCTTCGTAAGACTTCCAGCATACACAATCATAATGAGACAGACTGTTTGACAAATTTTTTTCAAGAATTCTGGAAAATTATCTAGAGGCTTTACGCGCATGCTTATTCCCCTACATAACGTTTACGAAATGTTTGAGCATATTTTATGGTATGGCCACATTCCGGCAAACATGGAAAAACAGTTGTCACGGTATACAAGTGGTAATTTGTGAAAGAAATATTATAGTACTATGCAAAGTTCGTCATCAAAATAGTTTGATTAGCCTAGTACGAGACCTTTTGGCGTGATTGGTTATCTTTCTGAGGCAATGTTTGACTCTCAGTGGCTATAATTGTTCTTCAAACAATAACGAAATGCGATTACTTATTCCTAACGTAGATGTAAACTCAAGCTAGCTCTACGGAACGCTACTTATTCGGCGAAAATCTCGGAAGCAAGAGGATCAAACGGTGAGCACATTTTTTGGGGCACACTGTATGTTCACGCTGCATGATAGTTTCATAAGCAGGCCAAAAGTTTTTCAAGATTACATAGTGTACAGCAGTGGAAGTCTCAAATAACATCGTAACGATGCTCATATTGCACATTCTCCGTCTTCCCTTAAAAAACTCCAAAAATTTGACGCCTTACTGGTCTAGAGAAATTCTATCCACTGCCGTCATTTTCGCCTTCACAGACAACACTTAGGCTTTGGCCATATTTTACACGTGTTACCCGTGTTAGTGTTACTCGAGTTACTAATGTTACCTGTGTTACCACTATTACTCGTGTTACCCGTGTTACCAGCGTTACTCGCGTTACTAGTGTTACTAGTGTTACCGCTTTTAGTGCTTTTGGATAGTGAAATGATCACAAATTCAGTCTCATTATAGAACGCAGTCTCATCAACTGGAGTAACTTGAGTAACACTGGTAACACCGGTAACTGGTAGCACGGGTAAAACATGATCAAAGTCTTACCGTAATAAGGCTAGTTTTGTAGCTCTTTAGCTTTCATTTAACTTTCGTTAAGAATTTCTCCTTCTTTATTCTTTAGACCTTTATAGATGTCTAGAAGCATCGTACTGACATGAAAGCACACTAGAGGTTGCACACTTGCAAAGATACGGAAGAATTTCGAAACAACAAATACTGCGTTTTTTATGTTTTATAAGCATACAAAATTGTGAATGATGGAAAATCTTTCAAAAAAGTTCTCATAACAGAACCTATGTTAAGACTCTAGTATTTTATGGTGTGGGAGACTGCAAAACACTTTTGTATATGAAGAAGCCACTCCGGCAAGAATTTGTAGATCTTTCACACCCTTCAAGAGAGGGAGAAAGCAGAGATTAGAATGAGAACTTTCCTCATCTTGAAAATTTTGCAATCCATTCATTGAGCGCGTTCCTCACCGGCTACATCTACTAAATCGTTCAAAATTTGATTAGATTCTTCAAGGCTGTGACTTCGTTTTCAATTTCGAATGCTTAGTGACAAAAAGTCTATTGGGGACATCTACGATTTGCATCAAACATGCATCAAATGAAGGCTATTGAAGCTGATCTCTCTTGCTTTCGTCTGGACTTTATAAACTCACGACAAGGACAATCAGAACACTGTCTCAACATCTTAAAACTCTTTTCGCAAAAAATAGGATTAGAGTGGATTTTTTGATCGCCAAAAACCCTACAGGATGCTATCTTTTACGGTAGAGTAATGATTTGAATACTATTTATTTGATTTATAGCAGAGAAGATCATTGCTCTTTTGCTGTTAGCCAGCAGGTCCTTTGAATTTGTTCTAATTGGATGATCTTCCTATTAATTTTGTTTAAAAAGCGTTCTATAGGTGACATTGGAGAAACAAACTCAGTCAATTTGGGCCTCCTCCGCGGACTACTGGTCCGCAACGACATGCAACAACATCACAAAAGGATCAGTTGCCAGCGAAGGCGAGCTCAAACTGGAGGAGTTTGTTCCCTACCCATCACGACAAGACCACTGAACTAATATTATGACACATATGTACTTTTCCGCAGATAATGTACATATGTATCTAGTGTGCTTGAAGTCCAACAAGCAGAACTTGCTTTTGTCAGTATGAATGGTGTCATCAATATTTAGTTTTTGGCGGTAGAAGGAAATTCTAAAACTTATGAAGTTGTGGCATCATATGCTTGTGTTACAACTTCACTGCTTCATAAACTCATTTTGAATCATAAATAGCAGAAGAAGCAGAATCGAGTGATTTACCCAATGGAGAATAGGCCTGACTGGCACGAGTGCTTTGAAGAAAAGAACCCTGTAAGCTGCTCGAGCAGTCACTCAAAGGATAATTGTTTGTTTGTCACTCAAGCAGAAATAGGTAATGGTTCTCTTGAAAATTTATCAACAAGGCCATTGAAAAGGCACTGCTTATAACTACTAAAAAGACGCCGCGCTCTGACAGAGTGCACCGAAATCCGCGTCGCCTTATCTTGGTTCGGAGTGAATTTTGGTATTCAAGGTCACCGTTTGACTCAGCTCGGCGAGATGCATCTTCTGATATATATAAGTGCTCCTTTGCATACGGTAGGCGATAAGTTTTTACTTTTGGCCTACGGTAGAGTCAATGTGCAATGAGTACGCTGACTGGCCTACCGTAAGGAAAAATAAAAAGACCTCGTAAAATCTAACAGCCTACCATGCACTTCCCGTATCCAAAGGAGCACTTCCATATCTTAGAAGATGCACTTCGCAGAGCTAAGTCAAAAGTGACTTTGAATTCAGAAGTCCTTTTTGAACCAGGATATGTCGATGCCACGCAAATTTTGGTGAACTTCGGCGCAATGCGGCTTCTTTTTCGAACAATTGCGAGCGGTTTGTACAGTAACTAGTAGCGTGGATGGTACCTTGGAAATGAGAGCTAAACGTATTTCACAGAAGAGCCTAGTCCAGATAACGTTTGATTATTGCTAGTTCCATTTGGTACTCGTCGTGTCAAGTAGTACCTCTCGTCAAAAACTTTCAATTTCTGAGCAAACGAAGCACAGTCATACTGTGAATCCCTATCAAGTATCTACATGCCTTAAGACACATGAAGGGTGAGAGATAAGCATCAATGTAGAAGAAGAGTAGAATGCTTTGGTTATACAGGTTGTGCAAGATACTTGTTTGAATTGCAAATGATCAACTACTTTAGATTCTTTTCGCTACCTAGATTTGCAGAGATATTCAAAATTTGTAGTTTGAAGTTTTTGAAAAACGGAAGCCCAACTTTTCACATAGTGTTGCTTTATTCGAAAACTGTCCCCTTCCTGCTCCCGCTGCCCACCTTCCAAAAATTTCTTCGAGCCTTAATCAGTTTCATTTGACGCTCGATCGGAAAAACATCGTGAGATAAAAGCACTCGAACATTCCGAAATGGATGAAGTTAACGGTGCATTGGCTTTCTTAGTGGTATGCTTAATGCTTGGTGAATTCTTTAAAATTTTTTCTTATTTTTCATGTGAAGGTGAATTGGATGATCGAGTTTTTTTTTCTTTATGAAACAGTTTTTGTATGCGCGAGACTTGAATTCAAGCAGTTCGTATCCATGAAAAATACTCGTATTGCTACTAGAAGATTTCGTATTTGTGTTTCTCCACAAAATGGGTTAGAGCAGTAAGTTTCAAAATCTTACCGAAATCGTGCTGAGGGATTGGTCGGCATGAGGCTGAGTGCTCCTCGAGCGGATTTTTCTCGGCGCGCGTTTCATCGGAGACCAGGGCTGAAAAGAATACATTTGAGCTTTGTTAGCTGGTTCTTGAGCGAAGATCTACCCCAACGTATAGATCACGTATTCTCAAAAAATCTTGGACATATGGTGTTACATAAAGCGAGCCACAACGGCTTAATGACCAATTTCAAGTGATTAATGCTCTCTGCCACCTTTTCTAGTGACTGAGCTTGAACGAGGCGTATACCATGAGCACATAACGGAAGTAATCAGTCATGCGATTCTGCTTAATTGAAAAAGTATCTTGCGCAACTGGTTCCTGAATTTCTAATAAATGCATGTAGTGTTACAAAATTATTCTCACAATTATTCTGTCAGAGAAGGTCGTCTTAGCATAGTAGGCTGCTATCGACTGCGTAAAATATCGCTGAGTTTGAGTGAAATGATCAAAAGATTCAATGGATATTGTCAAGCTCCCGTTGTGCTGTAAAATTAACGGAAGCGTTACTTAAAAATCTGAGAGATCAAATATCTGGTTGCAGTTTTTAGTCTCCTGGCCATCTGTTTTATTGTCACTCACCAATCGTTTGCAAAATTTGCTCCTAAGCTGTTCTCATATTTAAGAACACTCAGCGATATGGAATATGATAAAGTATATTAGTGAGCATCTAACAGGGTTGATTAGAAATAACACTTGTGTAATCTGGAAATTGTTCTGCGAAAGAGGAACAAAAACTTGTTTGCGCAAATTCTCATGATTGAGGATTTCTGGAATATCAGGCTCAAATTTGCCCTTTCCTTTCTTTTCCTTGAATTTTTGCTCAAGGGATTGAGTTCTGAAAAGAAAAGACATCGCCATTATAGTTATAGAGGACAATGGGAAGCTCTCCGGGAAATACATGACTTCCGTCAGATAGTATATGATTGCTCAAAAATTCCAAATGAAGAATCAAGTAAATAATCTCTTGTTTACGTTCTACAAACGATGGTATTCATCAAGCACCCTCATAGAGACATACAAGTTATCACCTAAGATTCATATTTCATAGAAAGGAGTAAAAACCTGAGGGATGTGAAAGAATAATGAACGATCATAAGTGATGAAGGAAAGACTGAAATATTGTTGAAAGCCTCCTTTGAAAACGTTGTTTACTCATAAAACAGAAACATAAGTTACATAAATACCTAAATCGAGCAAATGATCGGCACACATCATTCTCCCAAAGATTTTGTAAATGGACCCCAAATGCCTTAATGAGATGTCTATGTAATATGTAGCACAAACATATTCGATACTAATAAGACGGACACCGAGAAAAGATGAGGAGAAGATGAGTGGAGTTAAGACTTTGATCAGAGCATGATTAATCAAGAAGTCTGTTCACAAAGAGGTTAAGCTAGTGTTTGAATAGGTGAAGACGCACTTCTCCAAATACAAGATGAAAAACGAGTGTTTGTAGCAAGAGACAATTTTTCATTTAGTGGCTAAGCTGGGCCAATCATCCGCAAGATTGAGTTAAGACAAAAATTTCCTTCCATCCAACACTCTTCCTATCTTTGGTCCCTTCTCCCTTTCCTGATAAAGAGAAGTCCCAAAATCATGGCTATAATTTGAAGCAAGTCTAAGAACGCATTCATTCTAAAACATGAAAGCTTTCAATCTTTTCCACATATTACTTTTCTCACCTCCCACCAATATTCCAAGAATCCCCGCATTCAAGTCCTGTACATAATCCGATTTTTGAGAGTCAGCAACGTCAACAAGGAGAACCAACTTTCTTGGGCAAAAAAAGAGAAGGGAAACGAGCATTTCGCACTTCTCGGAAACCAAAATCGATAACGAAAGCGCATGAAAATGGATGAGTGATGGAGCAAAACAAACAAAGTCAATACGCCTCATAAATTCGAGAGAAGCGTGATCATGTGCATAATGATGGTTGCGATTGTCGGGCGCCACATGTGGACGAGTTACCCCCACATAGGGCAAGCTGGACCAGTCAAAGTCTCCAACTAATTATGCAGAGACGAGATTGCGCCTTTATGCCAGTGCCGGTACATAAACTTTGTGCTGGCAGCTCTGTTAAGAGGATTACTTCATTTTTTGCAGTTTCCTGTGCAGACATCGAGCCTAACCTAAGCTGCTTAGCTTTGGAGTGCAGCAAGTCTGTAGGTGAACACGGCGAAGATCTCGCGAAAAAGCTGAATTTTTTCTCAGCTGCACATTCATGCTTCAGCTTGTACGTATAGTGCAGAATTCTTAGACAAGCTTACGTCACCGAATCACGAACGAATTTTTCTGCTATCTCTGGCTTTGTAGTTCTCAAAAACCGAAACAATATGAATCTTGTGCGAAATGAATATCGACCGATATAGTACCTTCTGTTTTATCAAACTATTCTAACGATAAGAGATGTAGACCAGTAACTGGTACTACGTATTTCAAAAATGTATCGGACAGTTTACTATGCTCCAAAGGAACCGATTCTTAGGGCGGTAACTTTTAAGTACGAGTTTTCCCCTAGAAAATTTACAAGTTCTTCATTGCAACTTAGTCATAACTATGTAGCTGCACAAAAGTTCTAAACATCAGAAACGGAATCTGCTTAGAATCAGGCGAAGAATTAGTACTCTGGATTTCCACCCGATCAAGGGACATAATTTTCTTTCTATAACCGGATTTGTTGACATGTGCAAAACCCCTACATCTTCTTGCCTTTGTCCTCAACCTTTGAAAATTGGCGTCTGTTACATTTGCACCAGGCGTTGTTAGATTCTGTGATATTTCCTGGTAAAACCATACGAGGCCTGACTGCCACAAAACTCCTTACAAGTGTGCAAGTTTGCATAATCGTGGATAAGCTTTTACAAAGGCTGATAACGGGCTAAGAATTTACCTGTCGGTGTAGTTCACATTAATTATTAGCAAGTTCCGACTTTATTCTCAAAGCGCATAGAGGGGAACAAGTCCTTGTTTTTTTAGTTGAGAGGAAAAGATTATATTGTATTCTTCTCTTCTTATGCTCTGCTTGTCAACATGTTTCAGGAACAAAGAATATAGGGTAGCAGAACTTTACTGCAATCATTCCATCACACCCAGTTTTTATGACCCCTAGTACTCGTTTTGAATGAGCATTAAAGATTGATATGGATATATTTGTACCCCTCTTTCCTCCTTCAACCAAACATTTAGCTAAGCCATTACCCATTAATCGTAGAAGTAGTGGAAGTTATGAAAGCTATGCAATACGGAAGTAACGATATTCAGCTAATTGTAACTATGCTTCGTATTATTAGCTTAAACTACATATATCGCGTGTTTTGCAGAGCTTTGATTTAACGAGCTATTATTTCGTTAAACTGAATTTACTCTCAAGGATGTTACAGAGTGTCAAAAGTAGAAATTTCGGAACTCAGCGTACGCTAATCTGTGCCTATATCACTTGCGGCCAGAAATTTATGGATCAACTTTGAACTTCCTTTGTTAAGTAATTCGTTTCAATATGAAACCAATGATAAGCTTGTCTTCTAGCAAAAGTCAGTTTCGATGCTATATACAGAGTGTCCCAAAAGTAAGTACACACTTTTCAATCGTCAATATCTCTCTTCCTAATGGGTCTTTTTCTGCCAGTCAAGTACCATTCTGTAAAGGAGGCTTCAACTTAAATTTGCAGTTTCGACCGAGTCACCGATCGCTCTTCGTTACTGTAGGATTAGGTAAGATCTGCTAGCATGTGGATTCTTGTGAAATATGCCATTTGACAAAATTTTTTCAAAAAATCGGAGAAATCGTGTACAAGGGTTTTCGCACACGCTGATTCCACTACACAACTTTTTACGAGTGTTTTCAGCTTTTTTGACGTTGTAGTCACATTTCTAACAAACACTGGGAATTCGGTTATTACGCATTACATGGGATAACTTTGAAAAGAAGCGTCACAGCAAAGTGGAAATTTCATATTCGAAATCAGCGGCTTCCGTTACCATAGTATGAAAGTTTGTGGCTTGTTTGATTTTGTTCTGAGGCAAAATATGGCTCCCAATGGTCTAAAATCCTTGTCGAAGTTCCTACAGTAATTTTACAGTAATAAAGAGCGATCTGTGATTCGCTCGGTGCTGGTAATCTAAGTTGAAGCCTCCTCTGTAGATTAGTACTTAAACGGTAGAAAAGACACAATGGGAAGAGAGATATTAACGGTTGAAAAGTGTGTACTTACTTTTGGGACACCCTGTATATGATCATTCGAGTGCTGCGATCAGTACATGGAGGGAAAATTCTTAGAATCTAATCTTACCGCGCAAATACCGTATCTTACGCACTTTGGTACATCAAAAAACCAGCATCTGTAGATCCCCAGAAATGGCGATTTTAGCTTGGGAAGGTCCGAGAGCTCTCTTGCCAAACTAATAATTGTTAGTGAAAGTAATGCACCCATAATGATTAGGCTCCCGATACTGTTGAAATATTGGATGAACAATTTTCATCTGTTGACGTAGGCGACGATGTCATAACGGTGGAAAAAAGGATGTCATATATAAAGTTGGAAAAAGCATATGCAATGCGACCGGCTTCGAACAAAGCTTGAATGCTTCAGCGATTGCAAAACAACGCTTCATCGATTCAAATGCCTATTGTACAGCTCTCGATTATATTTTCAGGAGGAGCTGATTGTTGGAAGCCTGAATCACTTTTCCCGCGCCGCGTAAGCCATGAATTGTACGATCAGCCTGGTCTTTGCGAGCTTTCAGCGAAATTGCCTTGGGCGCATTGTGTTGAAAAGCAGAATTGAAATTTTCTCTCTCTTGTCCACCCCCAAACTAGGGCTATGGTATAGTTACACAGCAGTAGCAATGCTTTGTGCTGTTAGTTTGATCCCCCGCATATCACATGAATTTTTGCTTTGTTTCTATAGTTCATTTGAAGTTCTTCCGAGGCTGTGGACACAAAGCCCCTCCTCAACTCCATTGTTCAAATACTCATTCTAAATGGCTGAACTTCCATTTCTACTATTTCCTTCCTTCATCAGCTGACTTCCAAACATCACAGTAAAAAGAT